ACCGTTTTTTTTTTCGTTTGGGGGAAAACTAAAACTGGTCGAAATTTTCGAATAAGAATGAGTCGGCAATTTTTAGTGGAGTCGAAAATTTGGAGGTAAATAAAACACCGAAACCCGGCAAATAAATAGGCGGTCGAATTTTTAGAGGGGTCGAAATTTTGGAGTTTTCACGGTTCTAATTATTCCATTTCAATGAAACTTAGTACAAAGATGCTCTAGGACAATGTACAAACCTAATTAGTTTGGGGTAAAAATCTGTTCATATTAATTCCCTAATAAGCATAATAATTCATAATTTTTTGGTTCTAATCACATTTCAATTAAACTTGGAGACATAGATTTTCTGTTACATTGCGCAGACCTGATTAGTTTTACACTCAAATCTGGTCATATTAATTTTCTGATTTGCATAATTAGTTTTCAGCTAAGTAATTTCGAATTATATTTAATGTGTCTCCAATACTCTCAGCACATGGGAGTTCTTTCTAAGCTTTCTTTGATTATTGGCTGAATTCATTAGTTTACAATCTAATAAGAGAATGACATCATTAAATACCTGTGCACATACTCTCTTTTACAGGTACATCTATTGTCCACTTGGTGGATCCAGACATGGCCTATTCTATCAACTCATTTCATCCTTGTCCTGTTTCATGTACGTGGCATACTGGCACGGCGGCGAAAGTCATTTATACATTTGGTGTCTACTCAATTGGTTGGGAGTCAGTATGGAAACCTTGGGAAACATGTTTCTTGATTTGAAGTTGGTGGAGAATGTGCGGGTAATGGCTGGATATATATACTTTTCGAATAAATCCAGATGTAACTTCTCTGTTATAGAAGTACATGCGATTGTCAAAATTCAAAATCAGTGAATAATATTATTGCATTCAGTTTGCAAGTGGAGGTGACAACAGCGCCCTCTATTTTTAGATGGCATTTTTGGACTGATGCGTTGTTTGCTGGTCCAACTTCGTAAACACACAACACATGCAAATTCAGATCATCAAATAGTTTCACATTTTTGTCCCAAGACTCCAGAAATTCTATGTAAGAGCCACAGTGAGAATTTTGTAATTGCTATTTGAATCTTCTGTTTTTCAGACACAACTACCAGAGTGTTTTGTTCATCGATTGAAAGCCGTTGTGATGAGTCCATCTTTCATTATGGCTGTCATCTCAAATCTTGTTTTCCTTGGAGGCAATACCCTTGGTTCTATTTATTTTAACAGAATATTCCAGGATGGTAAGTCGGGAACATCCATACCTGGGAAGATGGCTACTCTAACTTGGCAACCACTCTTCCAGTTTAAATCACCTCCCCACTCTAAAACCTCTTTAATAGGACAATTGTGTGGTCATGTTTTGTTCTTGTTTGGAATTGAATTGCAGAGTTGTTGTATTATGAGGCAGTATGAACAATGTCAAGCATGATATAGTTGTACTTTATTCTAGTTTTGCTTGAGCAGAAAATTGTATTCACGTAACGAAAAAAAAACTATGCAAATGCACTTCAAAATACCACGAAACAAACGTCAGTACTTTTGTCAATACACAAAACACTAGTGTTCATTAATATTGACACTGTAATGTCAAAACAGTGATTTAGTTTTATTGTATCTATGGGGAATGAACTGAGTTTGTGCGAAATATGTTCAATGTTTTATTGGCAATCATTTCAGAATTCCATTTAATTGAATTTCATGTACCAATACATTTGAAATGTGTGAATTCACAAACCCTTTCCTTGGGATGTCGCATAACAATCTACCAATGCCGCTTATGGGAGTTAAATTTCTTCACTGACGTGTTAATTTTATTATTTTCAGGTTGGCCGAATACAACATTATGGTTTGTTCTGGTTTTTTATTGTCAAATTATGTTAGTTTCTAAACTGCAAACAAGATGGAACTATTTTTAAATGACTTGTTTTATTTATGCACAATGTATAGTGAATTATCAAATTCAAATTGTGTGCTGTGCTGTGTAGTTAGTGTACGTTATTTTATGCATATTATAGAGGTCACATTTCCTCAGCTGGTTGTGAGATATGTGTACTGTATTGTTTTTCATTTCACCATTGTGTGTAATGTAATGTGTTGTCTTAACTTTTGTATAACAGTAATAAAACATTGTAAAACCAGAATTTGTGTGCCACAATTATTTTAAAGCTTATACATGATTGGATTTATCGATAAGCTGAAGTAAAGTCAGCATTAACTGAACAGTGGTACAATTAAAATCCCAATAAACCATTTGCCTTGCATACATCTCAATTAGCAACATACTTCTAATAGAACAAATGTAGTATTATCAATATGTAAAAGTTGCAGCATATGTCCCTTTAATGTGCATGCTGAACATCCCCTTTCTATATTAAAACTAATATATAAAAATTAATGCAGTTTACAAAAATTTTATATGCATAAAAGGCTTCCTTAAAACAATATATATTATATCAAGATTGGCCATATAGTATATTAAAATAACAAGCAAATAAAAAAAAAATATGACAAAGCTAAAACAGCAAAGCAAGCCCAATAATAAATACATTTAGTTTAAATAGCGACTCCATGTTTCCAGCAGTATACTTCTGCAATGTAATCTATAGGAAGTTTAGAAACTCAACCTTAGAATGATGTGAAAAATTGTATCCAGACTTTCACGATAAAATTAATGACCACTGTTTCCCAAGCCTCATTCATTTTGTAGTTTGACTTGTGTCAATTTGATTTGAAGACCATGAGCATAGAAGACATTTGTAATTGTAAATTTACATAACCTTGACTCAACCAAACTTCACATGATTGGTAAAACGCCAATAAAAATAATTTAAATACACCTGAACAAAAACAAATTGTTCTTTTCCCCCATACAAGACTGCTAATGTAAATGCTTTCCGTTGAAATTTATAATATCATATCACTGGTTGATCCTTATTGCTGGAGACGTTTTTATTCATTCCAGTTGTGTAACTCTTTCTCAACTGTGTCCAGTGCATCGCCTACACATGTAGGACCAGCTGGAACATCATCATAATTGTAATGGGGTATTAATGTGTTCACTTTGTAAGACTGATAAAACATTGTTTTCACACCCACCATGTGATTGCATTTGATGTGCGTTCAAAAATATTTATGATAGTAAATAATTTGTTTTTGTTTATCACTGAAAAAAACTGCCTGATTGCACGATGGATCCAAAGTTTTGTTTTTAAAAAAATGTCTCAACAATAATGGAAATCCGCTGTTATCCACATTACCAGGCAATACTGATAAGTGATCAACCATGAGATGCAGTTATCTTTTTTGTCAGCTGTTCTCACAGGTCAAGTCATTTCATCATTGGTCATTGTCGACATCAGGATCATAACCCAGCACGGGACCCAACCACTTCTCAACTTCAGGAATATCAGCCTTTTTCCGACTGGCATAGTCCATCACCTGTGAAAGTTAAAATGAGAGTTTCGTGAAAATAGAGAATGAATCTGAAAAATAGTTGCACTGTGTTGTTATGCTTATAAACTTATGAATGTAAAGGATTAAAATTACAATGGAACACAAAAGACATTTAATAGTATAGACATAGGTTGTCCTTGGTATAATAAACTAAATAATGTTTTGTGTCGTGTGAAACAAACAAATACAGAAATGTCTATTCATTTAACCACGCCATGCCAGAATAAATTTGTATCGCATACTCTCATGTCTTACCTGATCTTTGTTGACTTTACCAACTGAGAAATAATACGATTCTGGATGGGCAAAATATAAACCTGACACAGACGCAGCTGGTTCCATTGCTAATGACTCTGTTAGTTTAATCCTTGATTGATTCTCTGCATCCATCAAATTCCACATCGTTAGTTTTTCCATGTGATCCGGTTGACTGGGATAACCTGGAGCAGGACGGATACCCTGAAATGAAAATTGATTATTGGTGTATTACGAGTAGTGATTGGGCAAACAACATTCAAGAATAATGACAGAGAATCAAAATAAGACAATTATATGTTCTACTTGATGCAGAGAAATACAATTTGAATGAGGTACTCACTGCGTATTTAATTTTATGAAGATCCTCTGCTCCTAGCCCCTCACTCGATGCATAGCCCCAGAGTTCCTTCCTGACACGTTCGTGAAGTTCTTCTGCAAATGCCTGATAATGAATTGTAAAATTAATAAGATATAAGCAGAACTGATACTTTAGTAGTTAGTGTGTAATTGGATTGGGGATCCTCAATTTTATAATCAAAGAAAGCTTAGAAAGAACTCCCGTGTGCTGAGAGTTTTGGAGACACATTAAAAATTAATTCAAAATTACTTATACTTGAGATATTGATGGAATAACTGAAAACTAATTATGCAAATAAGGTAACTAATATGAACAGATTTAGGTGTAAAACTAATAAGGTCTGCACAATGTACCAAGTTTCATTGGAATGTGATTAGAACCAAAAAAATATTAATTATTATGCTAATTAGAGAATTAATATGAACAGATTTTAACCCAAAATTAATCAGGCTGTCTATTGTCCTAGAGCATTTATGTACCAAGTTTTATTCAAATGTGATGATCAATACTTGAGATAATAGTATTAATTAATTATGTTAATTAGGTGATTAAGAAGCATAAATATTTACCAAAAACTAATATGGTGCATAGTCTTAGGTTCATTGAAATGTGATGGGTACTATTTAAAAGTTTCATTGAAATCCAATGAGTGGTTTTTAGACATCAGTGCAACAGCCATAGAACAGCAAAAAATTAACTAATTATGCAAATTAGGTAATTAATAGGCAC